TGTGTGTGTGGATAAGTGTGTACGGGTGTTTGCCAGTACTGGGTTGTGGCTGGAAGGGCATCCGCTGTGTAAAACATATGCTGGAATAGTTCACAGTTCATTTTGCTGGTGACCCCTGATAAATAAGCGACTAAGCCAAAGGAAAAAAAAGAATGAATTTTTTTTGTTTTTTTTTGTTTTGTTTCTGTACTTGAGGTTAAGAGTTGGTATTTATCGAGTCAAGTATGTTATTTCTGTTGTATGTGAAACACCATACCATGTTAGAATGAATTGTCCCATGGGAATAATAAAACTTTAAACCACTACTAACTAGGGTTCCCACGCTTCTTGAAAGTATCTAAAAGTACTTTCAAAGTAATTTCTGACATGTGGATTCAAGGCCTGGAAAGTAATTAAAACCAAACTCAGCTTCTTAAAAGGGCTTAAATTAAAGTTGAATGCACATTTGTTTATGGTTTTATTTCAACAATTATACTAAATTCTCAAAAACAGAACGAGAAAATGTCAAAATTCCTTAAATCATAAGTGTAAATCTTGTACAATAACACTATCGAAAATGCAAAAGATGATTCCTTGAATTTACTAAAATATTTTAAGTTGAGTGATTGTAAACAATTTGTTTGGACTGGATTTAAACAAACAAATTAAGTTAAACATTACTAAATTTAATTTGTTTGCTTAAATTCAACACAATTAAATTGTTTGCAACAATTTTGCTGAATTTTTTTCAGTGCATTTAAAAATCAGTAGTAATACACCAGTTTTGATTTTTTTTCAGTTCTTTAAACGTGATTTTAAAATAGTCAAAGTCTTTCTCTTTCTAATGTAACTATTTGGGAACCCTTTAACTACTACATAATGCTATTTCTTCTACAGAAATAACATTTTCTGTATCCTGCACAGATTAAGTCTTTGTGATATTAAAGAGACCGCCATGTGCTACTGCAGTGTAACCTCCGCTCTCTTCCTCCTTTTGTTTATTGCCAGTATAACTTTAGAGGAGCTGCAGCAGCTTGTGTTGTGATTGCGTTCTGCTGATTACAGGAAGATCTGGAAGCGATTCCACAGTTGATTATGTGGTCGGCGAACAAAGACGCTCTTTCTGAATCGCAGCATCCGAGCAATATCGCTTGCACACAGGCGGGAGCACCTGTTAGAGAGCGCTTGAGTAGAAATAACAGACAGCTATGGGCTGGAGAGGAGACGACTCCTGCTGCAGTTGACCTGAAAGAGAACACTGACCGTAGAACGAGACTGTTAGAGCTAATCCATGCTGTTCTGACCATTACAGTGCAGTGAACGCTTGTGTTGCAATGTGAATGATTATATGTACAGCATGAGGATTTGATACTGTACATGTGTACCAAACAAAATGTAGTGTTGCATCACCCGGTGCATGTTTGGAATTCAATTTTACCACAGCAAGCATTTTGTTTTGTTCTGACCTCTTTCCATGACAGCCTTTTTGATGACTTTCACCTAAATTTGACAGCCCTCAGAATATTTTCTTCTAGAAGCAAATGACCACAGTATATGCATATGATTATCATAATCAAGTGTGTGATTACAGTATATACACTACCTGACAAAAGTCTTGTCGCCTATCCAAGTTTTAGGAACAACAAATAATAATAACTTGACTTCTAGTTGATCATATGGTATTAGAAGTGGCTTATATGAAAGGCAAAGGCCTCTAGATTACTCTTAGCTCAATAATGTTCAGCTCTGGTGACTGGGCTGGCCAATCCTGGGGCACCTTGACCTTCTTTGCTTTCAGGATCTTTGATGTGGAGGCTGAAGTATGAGAAGCAGCGCTATCCTGCTGAAGAAATTGCCCTCTGCTGTGGTTTGTAATGTAATGGGCAGCACAAATGTCTTGACACCTCAGGCTGTTGATGTTTCCATCCACTCTGCAGATCTCATGCACACCCCCATACTGAATGTAACCCCAAACCATGACTTTTCCTTCACCAAACTTGACTGATTTCTGTGAGAATCTTGGATCCATGCGTGTTCCAGTAGGTCTTCTGCAGTATTTGTGATGATTGGGATGCAGTTCAACAGATGATTTTTATATATAATAAAAAAAGAGGCATTTTGAATTTAGGCTTCCCTCTTGGTTAAGCAAACAACATTCCAAAACTGTGATTTTTTAACACAAGGCACATACCAAACTGCATTAAAATTAAATCAGATTTCATGCTTTTTAAAAATAGACAAATACAAGGTGAACGGACTAAGCCCAGGGATAGAACCTTGAGGAACTGTGCACGATAGAGAAACTGAAGCCTTGTTTATACTCGAGGCGTTTGCTAGTTTGCTTGAGTGTGCGTGGTAAATGTGACGTCATTGGTGTTTTTTTGGAGGTTCTCTTTGGGTCCGCGCGACATGTTTTCGGCTGGTGGAGCGCCTAATTTTTTTGAGACTCGAGCGGACAGTTCGCGCACCACCACATTTGATTTGAGTTGAATATGAAACGCTTTGAAGAGATTTTGTCTGAAACAGTTACGCCTGTACAGACTTCTCTTATGATCCGCGATCATAGAGATAACCAGATGATCAATAATTCTTGGCTAGAAATTGCAACAGCTGTAGGAAAGGAGGAAATGTTTTTTTTTTTAAGTTTGAAAAAACCTGAGGGATATGTTTGTTAATGCTAAAAGAGGTCATGGCAAAAGTGGAGACCCATGTACACAATCACAGAATATGTTCTTCCTCCATTCATAGGTTTTATGCTGATGTGTGTTACAATTTTGAATTTAAAACAAATTAATAGTAGCAAAACTATAAATAAGCAATAATATAAATAATTTATTTGACAACTGGGAAGGAATATTTGAATCGCTTTACAGTATACTACTGATGCCCTGTTTCTATGCTTTATTGGTGATAATGGTCAGGAATGTTGGACCATTACTGCCTTTTTAGCCTAAGTAGAGGACAGAAACTATAGCCAGACAGTAATGTGTGAATTGTGGAGAGAGCTAAATCTAAAAGTCTTTTTGTTTTTTGCTTTTATTCTTGATATATTAAGAAAAATCTTTTTGTAGAGCAAGCCATGTTCTCTTATCATAAATATTTTAATATTTGTTTATATTTAATTAATATTTAATAAGTTTAATATTTTAAGCATTAATAGATAAAACTGTCCGAGATGGTGTATGAACAAAAGCAAGTAATGCTTCAAAGTTTGATTAAACAAAAATCTAGAATGGTTATAAAAATCCTTATAATCATAAAAATAATTTATAAAAACAATACAAATAATTAGTTTAAAAATCTTGAATGAAATTAATGATATGACGTAGTTCCGGAAACTTCCTTCTTCTCTGTTTATCCGTCTGTCTTTGCGGTCAGTTTCTTTTCAAAAGTATAAATCCAGCTTGATGATGATGACATAAACTCCTCAAGGCTGGCAGAAACACGTCTGTCAGATAAATATGAGCAAAACCATCCCAAAACAGTACACTAAACCCTTATATGCTGTTGGGGGGGTTTTCATGCAGTCTGTGGTAATTTTGAGCCTTACTTTGGCTGCAACTTTCCCTGTGTTTCAGCAAATAGAATGATTTGTGGTGACAAATCTAGTTTTGACAAACATTTTGCTTTGAAAATGTTAAAAAAATTCAACAATACACTGACTAACCTTTTGTTATGTTAGAGGCTGTTTTTGCCCATTGACATTTTAATGACATTTTTTGATTGCAAAGCCATGGCAGTATATAATCATGCATTCTTGATTGTTGCTGCTTTTCCCTGTTGGGAAGTGGTGAAATATCCTATTTTTACTATTGATCATCGGTTGCAGTGCAAAAAAAGTTTAGTTTATGCCTTCTAGATAGAGTAGTGTGTGTTACTTATCTTGATATTTCTAAGAAAATCTAAATAAGCAGCTCAGCACTCAGTACAGTTAACATGGTAAGTGTATTTATGCACACACACTCTGTAATCTGCTGTTTTACTCCATAGAACTCATTATAAAAGCCACAGACGATTTGCACAGGCCTATCTAAAAGGTTAATGATGCCAACTGATGAACAACAATAAAACTGACACATTTTACCTTATGCAAACTGGGAAAACCCCTAACAATAAAGAGTGCATGATTATATGCTGTCATGGCTTTGCAATAAAACAAAATGTCATTACAATGGAAGTCAATGGGACAACAGCCACAAACACAATGAAAGGCTAGTCAATTTGAGCGCTACACAAGGGTTAATACCAACACAATGCTGTAAGCAGATGTTAAATCTAAAAGCATGGTTTTCTGAGTCAGTATCCATTTTCCGAGTCAGTACCCATATAAATATAAGCGAGAATTCCTATCCAAATCATTTCGCTCAAGGGCAGGAGGATATCAGAGAAAGATTGAGATCTTAATAACAGTCCGCTTGCATCTTCCACCCCTCAGAAGCTTGTGACGTGAACCTTTTCTGTTTAGGGTGACTGCGGCTTCTCTGAGCGGAATTAATAAGCTGGAATTTGATAGCGTAATGCTTTCTAGGCTGAAGTGATAGGCCATTTAGAAAGTCAATATCCTGTTGTCCTTCTTTCTGCCTTTTTTTTCTCTAAACATCCTCCGTTCGAAACACTTTTCACACAGCTGTCACTGGATTCATGTTTTTCGGTGCCATTAGAGATAATCACAAATAGCAAATCATTTCCTTTTTCCCCCCATGCTCTTGTTCAAGCTTGACAGTGTTGTTGTTATTACCTGTCTGGAAATCTACGGGAAAATGTCTTCTGTATTTTTGTTTTTGTAATAGCATGCATTCATTTTATGTCCTCACGAAGCACACAGGCAGGCAAAGTTCCTAACAAAGCAGACAAAATAATCAGGAGCAGGTCTAAAAATGATTTTTGAATAGGGATAAATACTGGGGTGTTTCCTTTCCCCTTGATATTGTAATATTGCGACAAAAGTAGTCAGCAGTAATGCAAAGAACAATGGCTTTGTGTAACATATCTGATTTTGTTGTTTTGTGTTTGTTCGACAGGAACTGCGAGGGCAGAAACATCCGTTACAGAACATGCAGCAACACAGTAAGTTAATATGATGTGTTATGAGGCCCACCAGGCATCTGTAACTGCAAAAAAGCTGCAGACTTATATAGAACTGGATGCAGTTCATAAAATTATACAGATTCATATTAAGATTAATTTGTTTGATATTTGATTAAATTGGATATTAATCCTGTTACAAGTGACATTGTACTGGTCAAGCTCCATTTTTGACTGCTCTTTATAAAAAAAGAATAATAATAAACTCCCCCAAATAGTGTTACCATTTTGAATCCATTAAGCCTGTCTCAGCGTATGGCTGGAGCACATTTAGCTTAGCTTAGCTTAGATCATTGAATCGGATTAGAACATTAGCATCTCGCTCAATATTGTCATAGTACACAATGCAACTATAGAAGAGTCAATCTTTAAATAGGACAATTATCAAAACTCTTTTTATTTTAGTGTAATGCTAATGGTCTAATCTGTTTTAATTATTTAACCTAAGCTAAAATAAAAGTGCTAAATTGGATAGGACAATTATAAAGCGTTTTGGGCCTTTTTATGAACAAGATTCTAGTGGTCTAATCCAGTTCAATGATTTATGCTAAAGAAACACTGCTCTTTGTAAAATAAAAATGAAACTCCCCCATACAGTTAGGTTTACCATTTTTGAATCCATTAAACCTGTCTCTGGGTCTGGCCGGAGCATTTTAGCTTAGCTTAGTTTAGCTTAGCTTAGATCATTGAATCGGATTAGAACATTAGCATCTCACTCAATATTGTCATAGTACACAACGCAACTATAGAAGAGTCAATCTTTAAATAGGACAATTATCAAAACTCTTTTTATTTTAGCAAGATGCTAATGGTCTAATCTGTTTTGATTATTAAAGCTAAGCTAAGATAAAAGTGCTAAATTGGCTAAATTGGATAGCATAATTATAAAACGTTTTGGGCCTTTATATGAGCAATATTCTAGTGTTCTAATGCAATTCAATGATTTATGCTATAGAAACACTGCTCTTTGTAAAATAAAAATAAAACTCCCCCAAACAGTTAGGTTTACCATTTTTTAATCCATTAAGCCTGTCTCTGGGTCTGGCTGGAGCACATTTAGCTTAGCTTTGCTTAGCTTAGATCATTGAATCGGATTAGAACATTAGCATCTCGCTCAATATTGTCATAGTACACAATGCAACTATAGAAGAGTCAATCTTTAAATGGGACAATTATCAAAACTCTTTTTATTTTAATGAGATGCTAAAGGTCTAATCTGTTTTAATTATTTAAGCCAAGCTAACCCTGCTAAAAAATCCAGCTTAAACCAGGAATAATAGAAGTGGAAGTGGCCAAAACCTCTCTAAAACCAGCCTGGTTGTGGCCAAAACCTCTCTAAAACCAGGAAGTGGTTTTAGAGTGGCCAAAGTGGAAGTGGCCAAAACCTCTCTAAAACCAGCCTGGTTGACCAGCTAAAACCAGCCAACCAGCCTAGGCTGGTTTAAGCTGGATTTTTCAGCAGGGAAGCTAAGCTAAAAGTGCTCCTACCAAATCTGGAGGTTGACTAAATTGGATAGGACATTGACCTAATATTTTGGGCCTTTTTTTATGAGCAAGATATAGTGGTCTAATCCAATTCAATGATCTATGCTAAAGAAACACTGCTCTTTGTAAAATAAAAATAAAACTCCCCCAAACAGTTTGGTTTACTATTTTTTAATCTATTAAGCCTGTCTCTGAGTCTGGCTGGAGCACTTTTACATTAGCTTTTGAGAGTTTTTGAGAGAGAGAAAGTGTTTATACGGGTGGTTTGTCAAGCCCACTCACCTATGTGAACACCTATGAGAAGCACACTTTATAACTGCACAGTGTTTGTGTCAGTTAATGTGTCAATGAGATGAATGAGTGTGTTTTCTACTAACAATTGTGATCACCTTTCAAAAATTTAATATTTCCCAAAACATTTGTTTTCCAGAGAAATCCACTCTATGTATAGGACCAGTTGAGATATTTACTCAATAGTTTCTTTATACATGGGGGAAATAATAAGACCTACTATAAAAATGTTATGTCAGAGTGAGAACTGAGTGGGATTTAGTCTACCGCTGAGTGAGCAGAATGTCATTCAATTCAGTTCATTCATTTTCCTTCGGCTTAGTTTTTGATTTATCCGAGGTCGCCACAGCAGAATGAACTGCCAACTATTTCAGCAAATGCTTTTTTCAGCCGATGCCCTTACAGCCACAACCCATTATCGGGAAACACCCATACACTATCATATTTACAGACACACTCATACACTACGGCCAATTTAGTTCATCCAGTTAACCTATAGCACATGTCTTTTGACTGTGGGGGAAACTGGAGCACCCAATCAAAATCCACACCAACACGGGGAGAACATGCAAACTCCACACAGAAATGCCAACTGGCTAGCTGGGACTCCAACCAGTGATGTTCTTGCTGTGGGACAACAGTGCTAACCACTGAGACACCGTGCTACCTCAATTTAATTCAATTCAGTTCAATTTAATTAAATTAAATTCAGTTCAATTTAATTAAATTAAATTCAGTTCAATTCAATTCAGTTCAATTTAATTCAATTCAATTCAATTCAATTCAATTCAATTCGTATCAATACATTTCAGCTGCACATTATTGCATTACAATAAAATTTGGAAAAGTTATAGTTATTAGTTACCATAACTTTATTAGTTACTATTGAATATTAGCTATCATTTTTGGGGCCGTGAATGACTGATTGAGGCACTCACCCAGAAAGAAAAAAAATATTGAGCTTTGTTTACTCTGGTCTGAATCATGACCTAGTTCTTTAAATGTTTCTTTAACAAATTGTTCAAAATGGGTCGCAAATCAATCTTAAACTCTTTAGCATAATGGCTTGAAAATGAGTTGTTAATGGAACTGTTATGCAACCAGAATTGTTAAGTGGAGTCAGAACTGTTGCCTTTTGATTCAGTCAATAGTCACCAACTACTTGACGGCCTCATTGTGAGAGCCGTTAGATGCCCATGTGTCTCAAGAACCGTTTTAATCAAAAGCCTGTGTTTTTTATTTTTTTTTCTTCTTCTTCTTCCATTTAAGTGGTTTCATCTAGAATCGCATTCCTCTTTCACCCACAATTTCAATCAGAGCCATCTGGGAAAGATTCCCAGCATAACATTTATTCAGTTTCCGTCAAAACAGTGTGAACTGATGCTCGGTCTTCCCTGTCAGGCTTTATAATTGCTGTTGATGAGGGCCATTGTTGAATTGCACTTTTTTTTCATTACCAATCTTGACATTGAGGACTTGTCATTTGTAATGACTCTATCCGATGGAGACACTTTAGTCACGGTCATCACTGATGGTCTTTGCACATGGGGTTACCGAGAAGAAGACCGAATGATTAAATGAGTTCAGTGTCCTGAGCTGCAGAGGAAGAATTGTGGTTTTTTTATAGTGCACCGGAGATGACAGAGGAAATATTGTCTTTCAAAACATGGAGGTTTGCCATCAGTTCATTCGTTAATGCGCCAGGTCATCTGCATAAGCTTTATGATGTCACACACGTGATCACAACTTAATCTCACCGCATCGAAAAATAACATTTCCAGTGTCATTGTCAGGTCAGCTGTTATTTTTGGACCTATTGCAACCCCAAATCAGAAAAAGTTAGGACCGTATGAAAAAGAGAGATAAAAATAGAAAGAAGTGATTTCTAAATTTACTCTGACTTGTATTTCATTGCAGACAAACATTACATTAAAACATAAACATTATTCCATGTGTTCCTTGTGATTTTTATTTTTAAGTAAACATGTATTTACATTTGGTTTTTAAAACACAATTTAAAAAAAGTTGGAACAGTAAAGCATTTACCACTTTTTAATGTTGCCATTCCTTTTTACAACACTTAAAAGACGTTTACGGGCTGAAAACACCAGGGGCCTCATTTACGAAGACTTGCGTGGAAATCATACTAAAACATTGCGTACGCACAAAGCTGTAAATGTGCGAATCCCACTCATATTCTTTTGTACATCCAAATGAACGTGAAACTGAGCGCTACATGCACGAGCACAAAACCCCTCCCTGCCTCCTCCCCCGTATGAATATGCTAATGACTCTACTTTGGCAAAACCCAACGAAAAAGCAACGGCAAAAGCAAGCAAAAAGAGAAACTTTGAACAGAATGTGAATTGAAGGTGCTGCTTACGGAGGTAGACTGGAGGAAAATGGTGTTATTTGCAAGTTTGTCCTCCGGAATTAACAACAAAAGAAAAAATTAGAGTGGGGAGAGTTTAGCTGATGCGGTTAACACTGTTGGGTCTGAACATCGCACTGTGGAGTTAAAAGAGAAATAGTGTGATTTATAGGTGTAAAATGTTGAAGCAGCCTTACCAGTCTCAGTGGCGCAGCTCGTAAAGTGCATGATAACATGTTTTGACACGTTCGAGCATGAACTCGGTTCGAATCCAGTGTCTGATGAACTTTTTCTTCTTTTTTTCCCCGCTACATATCAGATTTTGCCTATTATTTATCACAAGAAAGACAAGTAGGAATCATTAATAAGTCTGTGCATCATATTTTATTTCAGATATTGTCTTTATAGCAATGTGCGTGCAGTAGATCGCTCCCATTACAATGGGAAAACAGGCGACCGCTGCAAATTGCGCTTTAATGTTTGGCTGGTCAACTTTATGGTATGGACACCTTATATACCTGCTAGATGAACCCGTCTCATACAGCTGCCATTGCAAGGCTCAAAGACACTTTGTAGAGAGGAATTTAACACAACTGCCTCTAAGAGTCGCCAATGGAAATAAAACAGACACGCACAAAAAATGTGCGTACGCCAGCCATAAAGCTGGCGTGGAGCTGCGCACATTCCCACGTTCAGTTCATCGTAAGTAAATCCAAACATGAGTGATTCTGAGCGTGAAACCTGGCGTACGCAAAGTTTTTGTGCGTAGGCAGCGTTGATACATGAGGCCCTAGGTGAAGAAGTGTTTCAGGTTTAATTTTGTCCCATTCTTCCTGCAAACAAGTCTGAAAGTGGGCAACAGTATGGGGTCTATTTATTGTCGCATTTTGCACTTCAAAATGCACCATACATTCTCTATTGGAGGCAGGTCGGGACTGCAGGCAGGCCAGTCAAGTACCTGTCTCCTCTTCCTGCGCAGCCTGGACTTTGTAATGTGGTTTTGCATTGTCTTGTTGAAATATGCATATGAAATATGAAATATGAGTCCCTGGAAAATAAGGAAGCATATTGTGCTCCAAAATCTCTATGTACTTTTCAGCATTAATGGTATCATCACAGAAGTGCAAGTTACATTTGCCAAGGGCACTGACACAACCCCATACCATGACAGAGCCCAGCTATTGGACTTGTTGCTGGTAACTTGTTGATGTTTTTTTCTTTGGTCCTGAGCACACAGAGTTCATTTCTCCTAAAATACTGATTCTTCTGACCACAATACATGTTTCAAGTGTGTGATGGTCCATTCTAGATGCAGATGAAAAGTTGACGGAGCTTCTGGACACTGTTAACATATCGCTCCCTTTTGGCACAAGACGCCAGGCATTTGTGGATGTACATATTGCAGTACTCAACAAGTTTTGCCAAAGTAGTCCTGAGCCCATGTTGTGATATGCCTTATAGATTAATAAGGATTATTGATGCAATGCCGCCTGAGGGATCAGAGATCACAGTTGTTCTGCTTAGGCTTGCGCCCTTGTCTTTTTACGCACTGAAATTCTTCCAGATTATTTGAATCTTTTAATGTTGTTATGCACTGTTGAAGGTTAAACATCCAAATGTCTTCCCATCTTTCTTTGAGGAACATTGTTTTTAAACATTTCAATAATTTTCTTATGTATTTGTTGGCGATCTTCAGCCCAGGACTAGACCTTTCTTGGATGCTGCTTTTGAACCAAACCATAATTACAATCACCTGTTGACATCGCTTGTATTAAATCACATCATTTACCAGTATACCTGATTACTAGCCCTGTTTAGCTAATTGGAATGTGTTGCAGGTCTAAATGACAGGAAAGAATGTATATTTACAAATGAAACGAAGTTTTTGACAAAACAAGACATTTTTTGTGTTCATTTTTCCTGCAATGAAATACAAGTCAATCTGAAAATCACTGCTTTGTCTTTTTATTTGCGTTTTTCATACTGTCCCAACCTTTTCTGGATTTTGGGGTTGTATATGACAGCATGACTATATGTTATGAAAATTAAGTAAAGAAAACTGAAAAACTCACCTTAAAAATGACTTTTGCTGCAAAATTAGTTTAAATTCATCTAAATGAATTGAAACAACATAATTCTATCTTGTCTTTGGGACAAAACTATTTATTTTTATTTTTTTTAATTATTATTTGTCTATCCTTTTATTGGGATAGGATAGTCAACATAGTTTCGAGCCAGGAATCAAACTCGGTGCCTTGAGTACCATGGTGCTATTTGCCACTGCACTTAACCACTAGGCTATTGGCGCTGACCAACCTAGTTGTGTTATGTTGAATCCACTTAAATATGTAAAAACAATTAAGTTAACTTAATCAATTTGTGTTGTGACAACATGAAGGGATTGTGTTGAACCCTGCATTTTTTACAGTATATTGACTTGCAGATCATGAGTTAGTGGACAAATAGTTTTAGAATTCTCTATAGATTTTTTATCTAAACTCCAAAACATACTAAAGTGGGTGAAATCTTACTGAAGGGAATGCTGATCACCAAAATGGTGACTTGCTGAAATAGGGACTTATCAAAACGTTATCAAAAACAGTCCATATAAAACATACTACTTTAGTTAATCAAGATAATTTTTGTTCCTCACATTGGACTTTGGTGTTAGTCTTATGGAAAATGGGATTTGACATTTAGTGTACAATTAAAATATGAATATATAAATACAGTGAATAAAGTGCAAAGACAACCAAAGCAGATATAACAAAGACAGTGAGTTTTATTTACAATTCTTAAAGTGAACAGCAACAACAATGAAGTAATTAAAAAATAAATAGAATATATATATTGTCTTAAATCTTCTGAGTATCCTTATCCTACTTTGTCTATCCAAAAGTACAAGCAGTGTCGCTCACCCCTAACCTAATGTACTAAACACAAGAGTATTCCTACGTGTTGCGAAATGTATGTCACGTGACCTTCTTACCTGTCCACTTCGTCCGAGCCTTGTAAACAACAGGACAAATGAACGAAATACTGAATAACTATAGCAGTTTTAATGAAAGGATTAGTTCACCCAAGAATGAACATTATTTCACCATTTACTCACCTTTTACTTGTTTTAAACCTGTTTGTCTTTATTTCTTCTTTTAAAGAAAATAATCCAAGATATTTTGATGAAAGCTGAAAACCTGTAACCATTGACTTCCATAATATTTGTTTTACCTACTTTGGAAGTCTATAGGTTTTCAGCTTTATTCAAAATATCCTGTTTTGTGTTCAGCCGAATAAAGAAACTAATTCTTATGTGATTGTGTGTGAGTAAATAGTGGATAAATTTAATTGTTTTGGTGAACTGTCTCTTTAAGTTGTATTTCCCTTAACCCTACTTTTTCTTCCAATCAGGACTGTCCTCTAGAGTCAGGTGACTTCAGGGCTCAACAATGCTCCGCCCACAATGACATCAAGTACCAGGGACAAACCTATGAATGGATACCTGTGACCTACGACCCGGTTTCACCCTGCGCCCTCCGATGTCAAGCTCGGGGGAAAGGCCAGGTGGTGGAACTGGCGCCCAAAGTGTTGGACGGGACTCGGTGCAAGGCGGACTCTCTGGATATGTGTATCAGTGGGATCTGTCAGGTAAACATCACTCAATGACCTTTGAACCTTTGGATCTTAGAAAAATATTGCCATACATTATGATTCAAATCTGGGTATTTACGTTGTGCATCGAGTGCATCACATTGGTAAATGTGACAGCATATATGACAAGTTCTAAGTACTGTATATGCTTGTCTCCTCATTAAAGTGATTAGAATAAGTTTTATGGATTTCATTTTTAACCTTTATGACCTTTTATTGGATCATCTGAGGTTATTTAATGTTAAAAATATTCATTTGTTTGTCGAAGATAAACACATAAGGGTGTTTAAATGATGCCAGAATAGTCATTTTCTGTCAGCTATTCCTTTATGATTATTGATGTAATTCATTCATTCATTTTCTTTTCCGCTTAGTCCCTTTATCAATCAGGGGTCGCCACAGCGGAATGAACCGCCAACTTATCCAGCATATGTTTTACGCAGCGGATGCCCTTCCAACTGCAACCCATCTCTGGGAATTGATGTAATTGCAATAAAAAAAAAAAAAAAAAAAAAGAATATATATATACACACTCACCGGCCACTTTATTAAGTACACCTTACTAGACCTGGGTGTTAATACTTTGTGGCCTAAGTTCAACAAGGTACTGGAAATATTCCTCAGAGATTTTGGTCCATATTGACATGATAGCATCCCGCAGTTGCTGCAGATGCTCAATTGGTACTAATGGACCCAAAGTGTGCCAAGAAAATATTCCCCACACCATTACACCACCACTAGCAGCCTGAACCATTGATAAAAGGCAGGATGGATCCATGCTTTCATGTTGTTGATGCCAAACTCTGACGCTAATGTTAAGGGAAAAATCAAGACTCATCAGAACAGGCAACATTTTTGTCCAATTTTGGTGAGCCTTTGTGAATTGTAGCGTCAGTTTCCTGTTCTTAGCTGACAAGAGTGGCACCCGGTGTGGTCTTCTGCTGCTGTTGCCCATCCGCCTCAAGGTGTTTTGCATTCAGATATGCTGCTCTGCAGACCTCGGTTGTAGCAAGTGGTTATTTGAGTTACTGTTTCCTTTCTATCAGCTGGAACCAGTCTGGCCATTCTCCTCTGACCTCTGCCATCAACATGGCATTTGTGCCCACAGAACTGCCACTCACTGGATATTTTCTCTTTTTCAAACTATTCTCTGTAAATACTAGAGATGGTTGTTCGTAAAAATCCCAGCAGATCAGCAGTTTCTGAAATACTCAGACCAGCCCGTCTGGCACCAACAACCATATCACGTTCATAGTCACTTAAATCCCCTTTCTTCTCCATTCTGATGCTCACTTTAAACTGGAGCAGATTATTTTGACCACATGCCTAAATGCATTGAGTTGCTTTCATGTGATTGCCTGATTAGAAATTTGCGTTAACAAGCAGTTGGACAGGTGTACCTAATAAAGTGGCCACAGAGTGTGTATGTGTGTTTGTGTGTGTGTGTGTGTTTGTGTGTGTGTGTGTGTGTGTGTGTGTGTGTGTGTGTTTGTGTGTTTGTGTGCGTGTGTTTGTGTGTGTGTGTGTGTGTGTGTGTGTATTTTTTCTGAGGTCTATGCCTAAACTGCCAGCTAAATAAGCAGGCTTTCCATTAATGTTTGCTTTGTTAGGATAAAAAAATATTTAGCCAATGTATGTCTTTATTAAAATCTGCAATCTAAAGGCTCGTACACACCGGGATGCTCTGTGTTTACGTTTATCGTCAGTGTTTTTCTGAGAGGTTTTTCCAGATTCACACCCACGGCAGGGATTTTCACTGGCGTCAAGCAGAAGAGTTGGCAAAATCCCTCCTTGACGTCAGATGGCGCTACAAAACTTTAAGCTTCTGACACCCGCTTATAACAAAGAAGAAGGAGACAGAAAGTTGACACGCTTGTTGTAAGTTACTGGCGATTCAAACAAGCATGGAGCAGCTCCAGCTCTAGCAATGAAGAAATGATTATAGTTCACCAGAGCAATAAGCAGCTCCACGCTCAAATCGCCTTGGGGTCATCTTCTTCAATGTGCGCTCGCATTGAGAGTTTTGCGCTTAAGCACCTCCAAGTGCTGTTTACTGTAACTTCAGCAGCTCTGTGCACGTGAACAAAAGTGCCATGCTGATTAGTAGAGCAGGTTTTGACGCATTGCGAAACAAAATACAAAAAACGAGCATGAGGCGTTTTCTTAAAAAATGATGGCACCTGCACGTTGGTGTGCACGATCACATTGGTGCCCTTTATCAGTCACAAGACATTAAACGTCGACAGAAAATGCGAGCACATGCAAGGGTCTTAATGCTAAAAAAAATTATATTTTTAAAAATATTGACAAAAAATTGCATTTAAGGTTGTTTAAATCAAGTACTTACCCTACTGAAAAATCCAGCTTAAACCAGCCTAGGCTGGTTGGCTGGTTTTAGCTGGTTGACCAGCCTGGTATTAGAAGGGTTTTGGCCATTTCCAGGCTGGTTTCCAGTCATTTCCAGCCTGGTTTTAGCTGGTCAGGCTGAGAGAAGTCCAGCTAAAACCAGCTTGACCAGCCTAGCCAAGCTGGGAGCCCAGCCAAAACCATCTATGTCCAGCTAAAACCAATGGCCAAATGGCCAAAACCCTTCTAAAACCAGCCTGGTCGACCAGCTAAAACCAACCAACCTGCCTAGGTTGGTTTAAGCTGGATTTTTCATTAGGATAGCAATGCAAAAAAATAAAATAAATGAATAAAAAAAAGTATATATATATATATATATATATATATATATATATATATATATATATATATATATATATATATATATATATATATATATATATATATATATATATATATATATGTATGTATGTATGTATGTATGTACAGTTGATATATATAGTATATATATATATATATTTACAGTTGGAAGTTTACAAAATATCATAACCTAAGTAGTTTTGGCATAAAAGGAAAATGCATAATTTTATAACATCTCATTTCATGTTTATAATTCATAACCCTGTATGTTTGTTAGTTTTGGGTGTTTTTGAGTTAATTTTTAAATGAGTTTAAGGTGAGTCTTCAGAAAAACACACATGATTGCTTAACACACTGAGCAGACTTAGCTTTGATACTGGCTGGGTTTCCATCACACTGTGTTAATGTGGATTTTGAAGTATCGCTTGATAAACAAGTGATAAAAACGGCAGTTTTTAATCTATAATTCATTGTTTCTCCAATCAAATAAATGCTTACTTGAGGTTGTTTTGGTCTTTGAAAATATATATGCTTTCTAGAGGTTATTTCGGAAAAAGTGTTATTGCGATTTTTGCCATTGAAAAAAAAGTTGTATCTTTGAAAAATTCAGTACGACAGTAGCCGAAAACACATGCATAAAAAATAATGTCCTATATAAGCACATTTGTGACCCAATATGTTTGTTGGTTGCCATTCATAAATCATAGGTTACCTAAACAGCAGAGCAAATACATTTATCGATGTTTGTCAAGCGGTAATAGAAAAGGAACTCATTCAGATCTTCCTTTGTTTATTTGCTTCACTCTGGCTGTTTTTCTACTTTGTTTCTGGCTTGGATTTGTGACATGTCGTAAAAAAAAGTCTGTCTAACGGAAGCGGGAGCTTACCAGGTGCTCTTGAACGCAGCACGACATGGCCAAACTCCCAGAAAACCCCAAAAGTTCTGTTCAAAACTCAATCTGAAAATGTTATTTATACCTAAGCCTTCTTAAGTGAGCATTTACAACGCTTAAGTTAATACCTCTGTCCTTTAAAGCACAGGCAAGGCTTGTTGATGAGGTGAAAAACGCTCTTCTGAAGCCAGAGTCACTTCGTATTTACGAGGGAGAATTCTTGACCTTTTCGTCCCTGTTGTAACACTCATATTATGAGAATACAGCGAGAATAAGCTTCACAGTTTTATCCTGAATATATAAGGATCAAGTCTTTATTCACACGAGTTACCAAGCCATCTGCTCCTGCCATAGCATCAGTCTCTTTTTTGGGGTTTTTTACTGCGTGTCCAAAAGCTTAATGTTATTGTTTGGTGATACTGACGCCAACAGGTTTTCCATTCTGGATATTTCTAACAGCCCAGCTCACATTTCCTTAGAAAAAATGTAAGCTAAAATGGAAAGATAATGAAATAATGACCATAAACTTAGGAAAACGGTCTCCCTCTCTTTTTCAGTGTTACATATGTGGGGATTTGGGGTATATTCAGGTCACTATTCTGCCAGTTTAACCTCAGTTCTGTGCCTTTTGTGTGAGCATAATTGGGACGAAAGCGACTGGAAATGAGTTTCCATTTTGACCACAGCTCAGTTTTATGAAGCTAAAAACTAAAGTAATTGCTTCTGTCGAAAGCCTGCATGCATAATAGGCCTGATTTGGGCACTAATTTAGTATTAATTGTGCAAATGGCTTTTCGGTGCACTTAAAGCTTGAATACGAGGACATTGTTTTGACTGTTCCTTTATTGTTTATGTTTGATTAACTATTTACAGATTTGGCTTTAAATAATGTGAGTTTCTGTGAAAGGGATTCCACGAGTAGTCGCAGCTTTTTGTGGAACGTGTTGAAGTTATTTTGCACATAACAGATATTACTTGTAGGTGGCAGTCATGTTTCATTCTCAGTTTTTAGGCTGTTAGGCTCTCCCAGCAGGCACACAAAGTCACAAGACGTTCATAATAGGTTATATTTAGGATGAGATGTCAGGTGACCAAAATTCCGTGTCTAGCCAGCATCTAAGGATATTGTTATTTTGATGTCTAATAACTATGTCGAATGATGTTGATATTTGGTTGATTTTTACCCTGCTAAAAAAATCCAGCTTAAACTAGCCTAGGCTGGTTGGCTGGTTTTAGCTGGTCGACCAGGCTGGTTTTAGAGGGGTTTTGGCCACTTCCAGGCTGGTTTCCAGCCATTTCCAGCCTGGTCTTAGCTGGTCAGGCTGGAAAATGACAAGATAAATCCAGCTAAAACCAGCTTGACCAGCCGTGTTTAAGCTGGACATAGTTTGTTTTGGC